TGAGACTTTGCATGCAGGTATAAGAAGAATCATAGATGAATGTTATTGTGTATAATACAAGCCTGAGAACAAAAACTGTAGTCTACACTTCAGCTCTATACCGATGCGAAGCGAGGGCGGGCGGCTAGTTTAAATATAAGCTTTGATAAATTACCTCTTTCGTTCCCATGTTTCGGAGTAAAATATAGTTCAATTTTTAAACTACACGGCAGATATGAGTTTAGTATGTAATTTCAATAAACGCGTACCGCTGACTATAAAATCACTATGTGGCACTTATTCGTAACAACCTACTTTCCGCACGTGTATCATAAATAACAGAACTATTAGGTATACCACAAAATTGAATACGATCACACTGACTGACCGACTGACTTTATGACAGATAAATTTGTTAAAATCTCCTATGGTAACATTTTAACAATTTATTTGACATTAGGGCACAAAACTAAAAATAATAAAAATATATGTATATATGATTTATTAGTGTATTAACTTATCAATTCGCACCTCGATGAAGTTAACTTTTTTTATATAGCACCTAACCTAATAAAATACTACGATACTAAGCCTAAAATCACTGAGATCAAAGTGTACAACTGGAATTTGAGTGAGTCACCACCTAACTCACATAAAATCCGGGGAAAATATAGAGTGACATCTGTATCCGCCATTGTATCCGATCTAGCCTTTGTATCGTATAAAGACGACTTCGACCGCCATTATCATAAGCCTTATTGACATTGACACACAAATTCTTTTTTTCTCTTGTATAAACTCGTCCGTGAAGAATTTACATTAATTGCTTTGTTGGCAATAAAAACAATTGACATCACAAAACTAGATTTCGATAGCAGTAAATACAAACATAAATATTAAAATTAATTTAATTGATATTCCTTGTGGTTTTAATGACACTGCACTATCTTTTTAGCGTTGTTTTGCGAATTAGGCTGGAAAGTTTCCAGCTCGACCGACGGTCAGCGCTGACCGTCGACGCTGACGCGCTCAATGCAAAAATGAATATTGATACAGAGCGCCTTATTACTGAAGTGCGGTTTAAATAGAATTTATCGTATGTATTTTATAAAGACCGTGATGCTAAAATAAGTGCTTGGCAATAAATATGTAAAGAATTAATAGCGCAAAAAATAGCGTGCATATTTTACAGCAAAAGGGTTCATTTTTCTCGTGAACTGTACACACGCGTAGCCATTCGCCGTCAGCGTAGCACTGAATGCATTTTCGCGTACGGTCAGAACGTAACGTCGGTCGAGCACTGTTTCCGGCCTTAAAATTTAGAATATTCTCACGCCCCAGTTGATTTTAATATTTTTTTAAATATTAGTTGCACGGGTTTGGTGTATCTATGTAGAGTCCATTTTTTTGGCATCATCATCTTGCCAGCCTGAACACAATATCTTTATGCATGTCCACTTAGCTGTACGAGAAAACATTTGCTCGCTGGGTAAATAGAAACATCAGAATGAACGAACGAGTTCGCACAACGATGTTTGGCTGGACTCAGGGAACGAATGAAACATTGTTTTGAGCATTTCATTTACCGAACGAACAAATTATATTTGCTCGCTCGAAAATGTTCTGAACACAAAGTGGAAATGCTGCATTACCTAGCTCTAAACCAGCCAACAGAAAATCGGCACCACAAAAAGGTAGTTTATTCATACCCCGGTCTTCTATAAGATGTCCTCGTTTTACAGATCTACTTCTCCATATACCCCTATATGTTACCCCCATATACCTCCAATTAGAACAGAAAATCCCTTTTTACGCTTTCCTAATTATCAGAAAATAGATAAATAGCAGGATGACTGCAAAAAATGACAGTTGAAAAACGAAAACCATTAAGGACAGGAAATGTGCCCGACACCTTTAACTATTTGATTAGTAAGTTAAGTAGTCATTTTAACTGAAAATTGTTAATCATCAACCTGAAGAAATAAAAAAAAGAACAAACATCATATCATTTTATGCCAACCGCAATTTAATGTAACCAAGTAAAAAAAAATGGATGCGTGTAACTTATGTACGCGCGTGAGAAGTTATACTAAAAATATTTTTACAATAAAATAATAAAAGGACTGGAAAAGGATAGTTAACACAGTCAATTAAGTTCAGTTTTAATTTGAAAAATTTAAATAAATATTCAAAATATTCAATTAAAATCACTACTGAATTTAAGTTATTAGTCCATATGTAATTAGCACTTGTAAGTAACTAAAACACGTTGTGTCTATATAGAAACTAGAAACATGTGGATAAATATTATAAATATGAAAACAGTGATCAGAGGCGACGAGCGTGCCAACATTGTTTTTGACAACGCGATCATCTTATGGAGCTCCGTGGATCGTTCAAAGTACCTTTCGAACAGATGTCTAATAATGGTGGATTATTAACCACTAAGTGGTTAATAATCCACCATTATTAGACACTAACATTCATAACGCGCCCGCGGCCAACTTCATGGTGTTACTATTGTGTTACAGTGATGCGCGCGCATCTCGAAATTTCACTCACATGATTTTTTCATAACGCGCCCGCGACTAACTTCATTATGTTACTTTTGTGTTACAGTGATGCGCGCGCATCTTAAAATTTCACTCTCATAATTTTTTCATAACGCGGCTAAAGAAGTATAACTTCAAAAAGCTTTATTCTGTTTTACAGCTACACAAATCCTACTACTTACTTAAATCGGCATTCATTGAACTGCCACTCAGTACACAAAAATGATGTAAGTACAATACCTGTTTCCGCTCAATAATTGAGGAGAATCGAATTAGCCGGCAAGTTTCTTCGAAACTGGGCATAGTTTGACACGCGCCGCTAAATTATTGACGCAGATTACCCGTAAACTGTTTCTGACGACTAAAACGAACGGCTAGATTTTTTCTTTGTATGTCCGTACCTACATTTTCCTCCTGATTTTCTGAGCTTCAATAGATATAAAAAGTAGAGAAAACCACATCAAATACGTTTTCTTTAAACAAAACTAGTTTTTACGGGTTAATGCACGAAACTTTATTTATTTATTGACGTTTCGTAGCCTTTACAGGCTACGTCGTCAGAATAAAACTTTTATTGAAATATAATTATAAAAGTTTTATTCTGACGACGTAGCCTGTAAAGGCTACGAAACGTCAATAAATAAATAAAGTTTCGTGCATTAACCCGTAAAAACTAGTTTTATTTAATGAGTGATGTGCGTGAAAACCTAAGAAACAAATACGTTTTCTTTTTAAAAATTATATGATTGTGTAATTGAAACATAAATTGTGATTTTTGTGTATTAAATTAATCTCAATTTAACTATACCACAGTATAGTATGATTAAATTGCCTACGGCGAAAATAATGGGAGCATAGGCAAGGACTGTATTTTTCGGTATATAATAAACGCGCATGCGATTTTCGAGATGACACAATGGACTGCGCGACTAGTTGCACAAGTTTTTTTAATTAAAGATAAGAACACATGAATATAATCAATTACAGTAAATTTTGAGATTAAAGTACACTAACTTTATTCAAAAAACTCTTGCATACTATAGAAGGTGTTTTTAACTCAATAAATATTATATTTTTTTTTAAAGCATGTAACTAACTGCTTGATGTTTAAATCTAAAGAAAATATAACTAGAAAAAAAATTCCACGCGGACCAGGCAGCAGACGGGACTCGAACCCGCACTCTTCGCAATCCGGGCGAATGCACCGGGAACCGGGGATTTTTTTCTAGTTATATTTTCTTTAGATTTAAACATCAAGCAGTTACATGCTTTAAAAATAATATTTTTTTTAACTATAATTGCTATTTCTTCTTTCAAATGTTTAATACTTGTAAAAGTATTCATTTGACATTATGGGTTACCTATAATGCGAAGAGAAGGCGCTGCCTAGCAGCTTAAGAATGGCTAGAAGAATTTCGACGCGGTCCGTGCGGGCCGCGGTAGCATAATTGGTTCAATAAATATTGTTTCAAAATTTGTGCAAACTTATTCGTTTTGTTCCACGGTTATACCTATATATTTAGGTAATTTAATATACATTTTAATTGCGTTTATTCGTGAACCTGAACTATGGATTTCAAGACTTGATGAGGGTAATATAAGGCCATATTATCTTTGTATCTCAAATTTATAGATGTACTAGAACAGTCTTGTTTTTGGGGAAATAATGGAGGATTTTGTTTTACAAACTTACAAATTTCGAATATATAGAGTGAAGCGGGAGTTATGATTTTCAATTCAGCAAAATGTGATAACATCATCATCATCATCAACCCATGTTCGTCCACTGCTGGACATAGGTCTCCCAATGTACGCCACTGCTCCCGATTTTCTGCCACTCTCAGCCAGCCCACTCCAGCCAGCCTACGAATGTCATCATCCCATCTTATCTCAGGGCGCCCTACACTACGTTTACCGAGTCGCGGTCTCCACTCAAGAGTTTTACGGTTTCAACGGTAAAGGTTGCAACACAATTGAATTCAAACCTTAACATATATTTATTTAATATATACAGGAACAATGAACCTTAAACTAAAAACCTTAAATATAATATAATAACTAAAATATATTACTAAAAGGTTCCGAAGATACTGGCAGCGTTCCCCCTTTGAATAGCTAGACTAATTCTTTGTCCGAGGTAGCTGCCAGCTCTTCGGTCTCCAGTAATGTTGACTAACCTTTTTTGATATTTCATTAAAAAACCTCATAGCGCTAGGACCCCACGGACCAAGGGTCTCGACACCGAATGGGACAAAATCATATTCGGAGCTTAGACACCTGTATTTACATGCTTTTGCTTTTTCAGCCGCTTCACAAGCCGCATCAGCTCTGTTGTTTGTTCCATGTAGATGGGAAGGGGCCAGCGTGTCTGAACAGGTTGCATCCCATACCAGTACCCAGCCCATCTTAACTAACTACAAAAATAGTATCGTAGGTAACTATTCTCTTTTGAATAACTAGTTTACTTACTGTGTGATGTGTGTAAAACAAAGCGTTAGTAGTATGACGAAGAGGGCACATATCGGCCGGACAATTTCCATCCTCCTTCTGAAACAAGCACGACTTCGTTATTTCCAATCCGTATATCATCATCATCAGCCTATGAATGTCCAAAAGGCCTTTCCTATGGACTTGTGCGGGTTTGTATATGCTAACGATTGCAGATGCAGCCGGGACCAGCGTTTTAACGTGCCTTCCTAAGCACGGAGGAGCTCGAGATAAACATTTTTGGGTACTCAACCAATGGCCGACCTTTGCGAAAATTCAATTCAATTCAATATCGTTTATTCAGTCTAGGCTGTTACAAGCACTTGTGAATGTCGAAAAGCTACGCCATCGGTTCGCAAATCTACGGCGGGAGACCTTGTACTGAGAAGAACCGGCAAGAAACTCAGCAAGGGCTGCTTTTTTCTCCCTGTTTTATTTCATACAGTGTCGTCCAATTGAAAGTTGACATCAAACTTGCAAACATGTGTTGACCTCATCAACTTCCAACTTGCTTAACTTTCACGATTGCAGGCCGAATGCGCTATCGAGCTCCTCCAAACTTACTAATATTATAAATGCCAAAGTATGTCTGTCTGTCTGTTAGTAACCTCTTCACACTGAAGCCACGGAATCGATTTAGATGAAATATAGTTTAAAGATAGTTTGAGTCGCGGGAAAGGACACTTTACATCCCGGAAAAATGTTAATTTCCGGTGGCATTAAAAAAAACCACTTTTGCACGGACCAAGACGCGATCAGAAGTTAGTTTAGAATAGAACAAAAAATATATGAATTGCCATTTCGAGAAATAAAAATAAATGTCTATTTTCCCTGAAGGAGATACAGTCCACAGCAGCTTTAAATTGTAAAATATTCGCAAGAGGATTTTATTTTTTTTGGCAAAGACATGAGTGTTGAAATCAGTTGGAGAAAGACAACTTCGTACCTAAAGTGTCACGTGCCGTTATTGTACGTAATTTAGTGTCGCTGCTAATAGTGCTCCGTTTTCCACGTATTCTTATTAAAGTGAAATTTTTATTACATCGTAAAACATTTTTTTTGTTTTCTTTAGCATGTTGCATAACATTGTTTTAAACTTTCATGGTCACTAACATTATAGTAATACAAGTTATTTACGGGATTGTTGTTTTTAGCGAGTTTCCGATATTTCGGCACTGTTGCAAGCGCCATGATCACGGAGTAACTGAAATATCGGAAACTCGCTAAAAACAAGGTACATGGTAACAATCCCGTAAATAACTTATATTACTATAATGTTGCATTACATTTTTGATTGTTACTAAAGAATTTAGACTTTATCAACAAGCATCGATGGTTTAGTAAGTGTAGAAAGCTCGCCTCCTACGCGGTCGGCCCGGGTCTGCATCCCAGCCGAGGAAGGACTTTTTTTATTAATGATTTTTAAAGTTTCACTTCCATCGTGGTTTTTTTTAAGCCACACCAATTTTTACTATTATATATATTTCATACCTCGGAACAAAAAAAATCATTTCCACAATTTATTGTTTTAACAGTCTGAAGGAGATTGAGTTTAGAAATACCATAAAAATAGAGCAGTTATTAAGAATATTGGATTTCTATTTTGAACTTTTTAACCCTTAGCTGTTGGTATCGCTAAAAAAGGTATCGGGGGTAAGTAACCCCAGCAACATGCTTTCGCTTCTAAGTATTTTAGAGTACCGCACATCTCTCATCCGCTGCACCCTGAGAAATGATGTGATGAAGAATGAGATTACCTAAACACGCAGCAGTTTAAGTTGTAAAACTATAAAGGTATGGAGAAGTCTGATGTCCTGGGGTAATTTTTGACCCCCGATACTAGTTATGAGTTAACATGACTGGCATTGCACTCTTTGTTTCTTCTGAGGGAAACAAACCTCACAGAATAACTATCAAAATCCTAATGTGTAAATTTTCAGTCATTTACAGATTTACTTGCAAATCTGTTTTTTGTTGTCGTATGTTTATATGACCGAAACATTGTGTGCACGTGCACGTGAGAGAATGTCCAATTGTGACTACAGCGAATTGTGGTCATGCACCACAATTTAAGCGGATCAATTTTGAGCCGCAATTGCCGTATCTTCCCTCTTTGTTTTAATCTAAGATTGTTTGTAAGAAAATAAGCTTATAAGGGTCAGAAATCAAATTGGCTGATACTAATTATTTGTTTCTTAAGTTTACACGCATACCACTCATTAAATGAAACACGCTTATGGGTTCAAAATTAACGAACTTTTAATAAAATTCTTCAGAAGGTAGCTCGTTAAAACTAAGTAAAAATGATAATAAATGCAAAGCGTCCAAAAGTAATAGAAAGACGCATTTTTAACCAGTTTAAGTGTGTTTCGTTTGATAGTACTTCTGCAATTTATCTGTAAATATCATTCGATTTTTATAATATACATGGGCAGAAGTGAGTTCTGATATATTTATTTACGTTTGCAGCGCAAGGATAACAGATAATAAAGCCAATTATAATTTTAAAATTATTATATGTTCTTTATAAACACTGAAGAAACTACCGTTACAATCAAATATGTAAAGTTTTTCATCCAACAGTTATGGTCTGTCTGCTTCAATCTGTGACAAGAATGTCAATAATGCAGAATGGCGTCAATCCAAGTGGGTGAGCGCCGGCGACGGGCGATCTTTATTTATAATTCAGTCAAGTAAAGGTTACTTGTAACGGAACCAATTTATTAATTATACATTTGATAAATCGGGGATTACTGAAGCCAATTGGGTAGTGAGTATTTAAGTACATATATAGTAAGCCCGATTCTGACTCGATTCTCTAAGCTTAAAACTAAATTGAACGCCAGTGTCCCTTATTTCTGTGTTGCGCTTAAGGTAATTTTAGATTTAAAGAATCATGTCAGAATCATACCTTATATATAATAATTAAATAAATATGTGATTTTTTCTGTATTTTAAGCTACGTTGTTAGCTAAGTCGTCGATGATTTTCTAAAAACGGGTAGCTGGGGTTAATTTGAATACAAATCAAATATTTTGTCGGAAGCACCTATCGATTGGTCATTTTGTTTTTCAGTTTAGCATCAAACACATTAGAATAATGAGATGTCCTATTTTTTAAATACCTAATAATACTAAAATACAAAAGAGTTCCGTTTGAAGAAGGAAAATAAAACGACTTAAATTCAGAAAAAAACTGAAGGTAATTCCGGCGAAAAATTTAGTATGTTACTATTTCAGATTTTTTTGTTGTATTTTTTAAATGGCAACATTTCTTCTACTTGAAACCTACCTCCTACATCCGGTAGCCGTGCCTCCTCTCTTGGATGCCATTCTTTCTGGTATTTTCGCGATGGCATCTGGGACTCGCTTCACACTGACAGGTATCTCACCTTTGCTAATCCATCTATAACACAATCCCCTCGTTTATTTCCACTAATAAATCACTAAAAGCCTCTACGGATGAAAAAAAGCAAGCTTTACCCAACATTGATGCCGAAATTTGAAACCTGAAACACCCGATATCAAGTAAAAATATTAAATGATTACCCCGTTAGGTACCCCACTTGCTAGTTTAGTTAATCTTGAAATTTTGAAAGATACCCCAATTTACATAATTTTATTACGATTCATGCTTATTCCTTTGCATAATAATTGCCAATTGGACCTTTATTTACTCTAATAATTCCCTAAATTCACCTTAACGTCTAAAAGATCGGAAACATTATTCCCCCTTTTAGACATAATATAATAAAAGTAATTCCTATTCTTTCATATTTACAAATCATGAATTTTTTGAAAAACAAATCAATATTTTCAGCAGTAAGCTCATCTAAATTAGGTAGTCCTATAGTTAATCAAACGTGCTAAAGGCAGGCTAATACCTAGAACCTAAAGAAAAGCTAATTAAATGGTATCTATTTTAGCATTTCATTACGTGATGAAATGAAAGATAATATTTTAAGGCACGTGGATGTTATTATCGTGTATAAATAATATGTGCTCAAGCGCGAAGTATTTTATTTAATAAATAATGAATGAAATATAATCTCCATTGTATTTCATTTATTTTCTAGGACTACAGATAGGTTCTACTCTCATTTTTGTACTTATGGTTTTTGCGGCTACTCGCTACAAACTACAAACTATATCGCTAAATATTACTACTATTGCTAAATAGTCTTATATATAAGCCTTATTGTGAAATTTATTGACAAAATCACGCCTTTAATAGAAATATTTGATTGCATACTACGCCATTTGATAAGACGCTACAGGAATATGTTGTATGTGTTTGTACATTAGTTCTTTTTTCATATATTTATGATGTCGTCGCATGAAAGACGAAATATAATAAAAGTCGAATCTGTGGCAGTCATGAAGTTATATATCTATGGTGGCAGTATCCAAAGTTATATACTTAAAGCTTTGATGTATAAATATATTTAACGGCTGACGCCAAAGACTTTCATAAAATTTTAGGATTGTTAAAAGTGACAACGTCCCTTTTATTAAAAACTTAAAAATCGTGTGACACGTTTTAATAAGAGTAAGAGTATAAATTCCCTTGAGACCTTCGATCAGTTTAATACCAGCGTAGTCCTTGGCGTGTATAGAGGAGGGGGGGCTTGTCCGCTCCAGGACATAATGTCAATTTACAAATGGGGAATTCTACGCTTCCTCTGACATCAAATACGCCAATGATAGCATTGACCTAACGTTATCTAGCGTCACTGACATTTCAAGACGCTGACCTAAATGGTCAACAATCAACTTTGTAGGCTAAACCGCTTATAAATCGGGAAATCAAAAATACATTATGGTGGTCCGAATTTACATTGATTCAATTGAACATCGAAACTACACGACAAATATCGTATAGCGGCACAATCGGCGTGATGTCCTGTCTTCAGAGGAAAATCTTTAAGAGATTAATCGATATTTCTTTATTTAATCAAAGCAACAGCGACTACTGTTGGCGTGGCTCTAGCCTTGGTTTTATAGTTGACGAAATCGGGCGACCACAGAATATAGGATTGACGTTACCTCTGCCGTTTCTTTTTTTTTCTATATGGCTTCGCACGGTTTGTGCATTTAGCCAATGTCAAGTGTAAAATGTTTACATATATTCATATTAGTCAAGTCAAAGTAAGTGGCAGTCAAGTCAATCCCCCTTCCCTATGTTTCAGTAAATGTGTGGGGATTTACGGAAACCTCCCCGTGGACTTCCCGTTCTCAAACTAAAGTGTGGCTAAGTGACATATGGTTGATTTATCAGTCTTAAATTTCATCTTATACAGTTTTCAATTCTCTATCGATCTGTCTTTAACAAGTATTCGTATCTTTTATAATTTAAGTCTAAAAATCCGTCATGTGCTGAATGGTTACAAAATAGCAATAATTTAAAGTTTACACGTTGTTTTTTTGACCATATCTCAAAAGTGGGTTTTGTCATTTAGTCGCGTTTTAGCTTGAGGACGGCAGACCTGTGTAAATGACTTTTACACAGAGTTGACGAACTCTCCATGTTCATGTTTTGTTTCATTCAATGTTTTTAATTATATTAGCATAAATATTTGCAAATTTAGTTAAAATTCGGAAAATATAATACCTAGCTGTGACTTGCATTGGATTTGGATAGCAAATTGACTTTTACCCGTCACTATTGTTAAAAATTTCAAATTCAATATCGTTTATTTAGTCTCGTAGGCAGTAACATTACAAGCACTTGTGAATGTCGAAAAGCTACGCCACAGAGACCTTGTACTGAGAAGAACCGGCAAAAAACTCAGCAAGGGCTGTTTTTTTCGCCCGGTATTATATACAGAGTCGTCAAATTGAAAAATGACTTCAATAAGAGATAATTAATGAAGTCACTTTCCATTATAAATGAATGATGTATAAAATGAAAAAATATAAAAGACTGAATTAACAAAGTTTAGGAATGCCGTATCTTATAAGTACTATTAAGGCATAAAAAAAAATACGATAAAAGTTAAATACAACGATGTTATAGTACCTAATGTACCAAGAGCAGACTCATATCCACTGGCAGCACCCGTTCACGAGCATGACGCATGAATAAGCCGTCTATATAAATAAATAAATATAAATATTTCCGACACTCACACCAATTAGCCTAGCCCCAAACTAAGCACTGTAAGGCTTGTGTTATGGGATGCTAGGGTAACGGATAGAATACATATACAGTACATATATAAGTATATTTATATAGAAATACATATTAAACATCCATGACTGGAGTAAAAATGCTCGTATTCATCACACAAACATCTGCCCCCACCGGGATTCGAACCCGGGACCTCTCGAGTCGGCGACACCATGAAACCCGGCGTACAAACCACTCGACCACGGAGGTCGTCAAAAATATGTTGTATGTCAAAACGCCCATCATAGCGTGCCGTGACTATAATGTAGGTGTATTTCGTACACAATTAGAAGGTTTGATCTAGATCTCGATAGTGGCAAGATTCATTATAATATCACATCACAATCTATAGATCAGTCATACTGATTAGGAGTTATTTCGAATAATTCAAACGTTATTTGTATGTAAGAACAGTCAGGCTTTTGTGATATTTTTAGATCTATGGGGGAGTGTAATGAGGGTTACCGTTTTCTGCCTCACCAGATGGCGCCACTGTTGAGTGAGGTCCTAAATTGTAACTTTTAAAGTTTATTAATACGCACATGAAATCAAAGGTTACATTTAGATCGTATTTTAACACAAAAGAACCATATCCTAAACATAATAGGCCATGCCACACGCGTCACAGTTCCGTTTTATTCGGAAAAAATGGGAACATAATCATTTTTCTAAGCTCAAATTTTTAATAACTGACATTCATTGCCACATAACTCATATTTGCCATAATTAAGCCGAATTGTTACCAATTATTCACAACATTATTTTAATTAGAAATAAACCCGCGTAGTCAACCAACAAGCAATAACATTTGACATTTCGGAGACCTCACGCTACACTAGCGCCTCTAGCGGCGGATTCATACGCGATAGCCCTCATTTATTTATCCCACCAAAAACATTCTGTAGCTAGTTTTGCCAAGTCTCGATGGAGCTGCTTGTTTATCTCTAAAAAGTAATGAAATATAGACAAAGTCGTGCCAAGTCTAAGGTTCCTGCGATTGCTTTATTACTATAGATAATGTTGTGTGACTTGGCCGTTGAAGGATACACAAGGGTACAAAACCAGGTGCTACATGACAACCCTTTTTTTGTGTACCAATGGTAGAAGGTAGTACCATATCTCTAATACAGCTGAGACCAGCTGAGGCTTCTTCAATAGATACTTCAGACCTTCGATTTTTGACATCAAATGAATCGACCCACCAAGTTTAAATATTTTTTGTAAAGGCGGTATGTCGATCTCTTCTAATAGTTTGGTTGGGCTCTTGTGTTTTCTTATCAGGGTCACCAGGTACTCCAGATCTTTGATTATCCTAGTTTTTATAGTTTTCCCTTTATGTGGCCATTAAACCCTAATTCTGTACCAAATTTTAGCTCTCTGAGTTTATGGGAAGTACTAGTTCTATTCTCATGATCAATGAATCAAATCAAGTGAGTGAGTGAGTATCATAAAGTATACGAAACTTTGCTTTCGCTTAACTTCGGAACTAAATGACCTACAGACTTGAAATTTTGGATTTTAAGTATGTTATAGCTAACTGCGTCCTGGTCTTATCCAGAGGTTCTCAACTAGGGGCCTGAAAATTCGGCGAAATGGTTCCAGTAAAGGATGGTACGGCAGTGTTTGCTTCGCGCTCGACTTGGCGGGGGCACTGTCGTGCCCCCCGAATGATAATTTCGGTGCTTTGGTTATATGTTTGATCGTGATTTGAATAATTGAGTCATTTGTAGTGAAACTATAATGTTCATACGCGGTCAATATACAATTAATACCATGTAAAATATTCCGATGCTTTATGAATATGGATATGTATTTAATATGTTATGACATTATAATCCAAACTAATATCATAAATGCGAGTGTTTCTGTCTGTCTGTTACCTCTTCACGCAAAATTAAACCACTGAACCGATTTAGATGAAATTTGGTATAGAGATAGTTTGAAAAGCGGGAAAAGATATATATTTTTTATCTTAGAACATCTTTTAATATGATGAAAAGGAAAGATTAAGTTAGTATTCATTTTTCCAGACGAATATCACAGGCGCCCACGAATAATTTGTTATTTTTTTGACATTTTAAGAAATATAATGTTCAAAGCTCTTAATACCATTAAAAGTGTTTTCTTATTAAATAATTACTCCGAATATTCGTTGGCTTCTTAAAAAACCAGCACTAATACATTGCTGTGTATATCTCTTAATTGCATAAAAATAGAAAGTTATCACTAGATTACTA